TGACGTCACTTCCTGGATTCCTACAGAGAGGAAGTGACACCATTTCCTGGGGAAGTGACGTCATTTCCGCGCATGCCTAGAGACCGCAAGCGCTGTCAGCTGCCTGCATTTCTTCAGGACGGCCCACTTTTGCACGCGCGCGTCTCCAGCCCGCGCAGCCCACCGATGCGCGTGCACGGCCCCGGCAGCCCGTCTGCAGCACGCACTAAGCGTGGCCGCGAGCATCCCCGTCCTCCTTCGCACGCTCCCTGCAAACAGCCGCCAGGACCGCGCTCCTCACTCCGCCCGGCCATCCAGGCGCGTCTGCAAGCAGCCGCCTCTGCACGTGGCAGGTGGCCACTCGCGGCCACGTGCCACGTAAGCAAGGGCCACTGGTTTCCGTGTCCTTCCGGCCACTCTGAGCGCGGCGGCCCAGCCTGGCTCGGCAGAAGCCGGGTGTGCTACGCAAAGGTGGTGCGACCCCTGGGGCTGGCCGGCAGGACCAGGGCCGGCGAGGCCCCACGCTTGGCAGGGTTTCCCTCCGCAGCAGCCCTGTCGCCCTGAACAGCTCCGGGCGACCCTGGAGGGTGACAGGAGGGGACGGATCCGAGGCCGGCTGGCTCTGGGCTTCGCCTGGCTTCGCTCGCGGGTGGGAGCTGCCACGCGGGCCCTCGGACGTGGACGGGGCGGCGTGTGGAGAGCTGGCCACGGCAGCCTGGGCCTGCAAGCCCCCCGCCACCCTGCGGGCACCGCGCCACCCGCCTGCAACGCGGAGCCCGGAGCGGTGTCTGGGCAGCAGGAAGCTGCGGAAGGCGAGCACGGAGCGTGCCCCGGGCGGCCACACGCGCGGGCGGCCACACAAGGCCCATTGTGTACCTTGTGCAAAGAGAAAGCAGCCTCAGGCAGGCTCGGAGCAAGCAAAGGAGGAAAGGAACAAAAAGCACGCGGGCCTCCGCAGCGCGGATTGAATCCCAGTGTTCCGCATCGGCCGCCCGCCGGGCACCGCGCCTGGTAAACACAGGCGGCGCCGGGCATTGTGTGCCACGGAGCTGCCGCAGCTGCCCGTTGCGCCCCCTTGTCCGCGCCCGGGCCGCTGCACGCTCCCCGCCCAACGGGCTTCCCCCCAGCCGCCTCCCGCCCCAACGGGTTGCACCAGGACGGGCCTGCGGACGCCCCGGGCACCGGGCGCTCGGCTGGCCCCGACTCTGTTCCTGCAACCTGTTTCTGTGGGACCCGCAGGCGCACGCTCGCGACCCCAGCCCGGGAGGCCGAGGCAGGAGGGCCGCCGGGAGCTCGAGGCCAGCCGGGGCTGCAAAGTGACATGTGGCCTCAAAAGCGGATAAATAAGTGATCGAAGAAAGGAAGCAGGGAGAGAGGGAAAGAGCAACCGCTGTCACAGCCACCAGCAGCAGACAGGCAGAGTTTAAGCACTGATTTGGAAATGAGACATGGTGTATCGCTGTGAGTCCCCGTGGCTGGGACATCGAGGTCACATTCGCCACGTGGAGACGGCGCACGCGCAGGGCACAAGTGCACACCTGCAAGGCCCCTCTGCCTTTCCTCCGTCAGAGGACTCGTGTATCTGGCTTATTTCATGTCAGTGTGATGTCGAACACCTACTCTCCCTCATGTGGCGCAAGTCTGTCCTTTTTCACGGCCATGTAGTACTCCGTTTTGTCTAGACACCACATTTCTTTATCCGTTGCTTTGCTGACAGCCAACTGAGCTGCTGAGAGCTGTGCTGCCTGCAGTCGGGTGTGCACGGGTCCCGCGGTAGGACGTCTTTAAGTCCTCAGGGAAGCCTCCTGGAAGGGGAATCGCCTCACTAATACCAGAGGCAGGCGGCCACCCCAAGGGCTGCGTGTTGAACGGCTTCAGCGTGACCGAGCAGCCTCTCAGGTCCGTGCTCACGCCGGACGCAGCGCACTGCCCACGAAGGACACGGACACGAGGTGAACGGCGGCCCCTGGGTGGTGGCAGCCCGGCCGTGAGCCGCGCACGCACACTGGGTCTCCCCGCAGGGGAGCTCCCGCTGCTGCACCCCACCGCGGCCACCCGCATGTGAGAGACACAGCGTCTAGCACGGCGTCCCGCCGGTGGGCAAGGTGCGCGCAGAGCCGTGAGACTGCACAGCCGTGGCCTTGGGCTCCGTGGATCTGGGGCAGGCGGGGAACCGCAGTGGTCACCGTGCTCCACCCTGGCACAATGTAAATGCCTGAAGCCGAGAGGGCGAGCGGAAGAGCACCAGGGCGTGGGGTCTGACGGCTCGGCCCGCAGGAACGCAGGCTGCACAGAGGCCCGTGGCCCGGATTCCTGTGGCAGGCAGGGCCACGGCAGCGGGGAGGAGTCGCCTGAGCACCTCGGAGGTGAACCACAGAGGGGCTTGGGGCTGACGGTCACCAGGAGCCAGGCCTGGAACAAAGCAGGCTCCCGGCGTCTCCCCCACGCCCGCCTGCCCCGTGCTCCTGCCTGCGGCACGGCTGCCCCCCTGTGCCCTGCGGGGCCAGGCATCGTGCCCGCGAGGGGGAGGTGCCCCCCCTGTGCCCCCGGACCCCACAGAGCGGCCGCCGCGTCCGGGCGGCCCTGGGGCTTCCCAGCGGGTTCTGCCTGCGGGCGAAGCGTCTGCAACACGCGGAGAAGGGCCGCCGCCTGTGCCGGGCCGCCCTCTGCAGAGCAAGCTTTCTGCAGCCAAACGCGGCCGGGTTTTTTACATCCCGTGAGGGCCCGCGTCGCCCACACGACAGGGACGGGAGCCGCCAGCTGCGAGCCTCGGCGCCGCCCTGACTCCACGCCCTCGCAGCGACTGCCAACGCCAGCGCAGAGCCCGGCTCGGCACGCAGGCCGAACCAGCAGAGCAGGTCCGGCTGCGGCAGGGAATCCTGCGCAGCTCCTACGCGCCGGGAATTCGCCTGCGCCCCACGACGTGCGGGCCCCACGGCAGCCACGCGCAGGGCGCCTTCCACGCCTCACAGCCCCCGCGAGTCACCGTGTCTGTGCTCAACCCTTTCCCACGTCCCCCTACCAAAATAAAAGCCCCGCTCTTCGTGGCCGAGCCCCCGCCTGCCATTTCACGCTGGCTCTGGGCATCTCGGATGATTTTAATTTGCACGAAGCTACGAGGCTCTCTCCTGAAACCGTCGCCGAGTCCCCGCCCGCTGCCACGCCGCCTCCGCTCCACTCTTGCCACCGGACGGGACAATTTCAGAGCAAATCTGAGCCGAGCGCGGGGCTGCGCACCTGTCGTCCGCACACTGCGAGGGCTGAGACTGGAGGGTGGCGCCCTACCAGAGCCAGGGCCACGACAAAGGAGGAAGGAGGGGCGGCTTGGAACCCAGGGCCAGCGCTGCGTGTCCACGGGGAGCGCCCGCGCACACACGCGCACACACGCGCACACGCACGGCCTTTCTGTCCCGGTCCTTCTGCTTCCTGCAAGCCACGCACCGACACCTAACGTGGAGAACGCCCCTCACCCACAGGCCACCCTTAAAGCTTGGAGTTCAGAGCGGCCGCAGGTCCCCGGGCGCGGCACCCCGCTGCTCTCCGCAGCTCCTTCGCTGAGGCTGCTCCCCGGGAAACCGGACCCCACAGGCGACCTTGCCTGTCGCCCTCCGCCCACCGGGCGCCGAGCCCTCGCCCTCCCGGCCACACCTGTCCCTCCGTGGCCGCTGACTCCCCTGCAAGGGTTTGGTCTTTGTTCATTGTGGCAGGCCACGCTGGCAGCCAGCCTGGCCTCGAGCGCCCGTGACCCTCCTGCCTCAGCCTCCCGAGCGAGCGCTCACAGGCGAGGGGGTTTGCGGCAGGCACAAGAGCCAAGCCGGCTCCCCCAAGCGAGGCGCCCCTTACCTGGGGCGAGCCCGAGGGCGCCCAGGAGCACCGCGCAGCCGAGCGCCCACCGCGCCTCCATCGCCGTCGCTGAGCCACAGCCTGCCTCCGGCTCTGTGCCCGGCTTGGCAGCGCGACAGGCCACATGTGGGCGGGACGAGCCACACTCTGGCTCCCAGCCCGTCGGGCGGCGCCTGCAAGCTGCAAGGCTGCCGCCAAGAGGGGCGCGGCCCAGCTCCCAGGAGCTCCTGGCACTGTGCCCGGCTGCAGAGAGCTGCCCACGGCGCACGGTCCACGGCACACGGTCCACGGCGCACGGTCCACGGCCCACCTCTGTGGCTGGCAGCGCCGATACGGGGCAGACGCACAGCCGGGCGGCTGCTGAGCCTCCTCGGCTTCCCGGGAGGCTGCATTGGAGGTGGCCGGGAGCCCGCTGGTGGGCAGACCCCAAGGATTTCGGTGCTTCTCGGTGCCCTACGGCGTGTGGTCATAAAGTCATTCGACAAACACTCCAGGCCACGTGCTCGGATGCCCACACGCGGGATGCCAGGTGGACAAGGGTGCGGGACAAGGATGTTGGCGGAGACGAGACGCAGCCGCGGGCCGCGCGAACACAGTGTAGTGTGCGATAGGAGCTGGGGCGCCCCAAAACCGCACGGGGACGGCCTAGCCCGGCTGATGGCGCTCGGGGAGGCCGAGGCAGGAGGGTCTCTGCGAGCTGGGGAGCAGCCTGGGCTGCGAAGCGAGCCAGGCCCAGCCTGAGCTGCACAGAGACCCTGTATCCAAAAATAAAATATATCAATATGTGTATATGTCAGTAAGAAAGAGGCGGAGGGGCCCGGCCTGCACGGGCTCAGAGGTGCCAAAGCCCCCCTGGCGCCCGCACCCCGGCCAGGCGCGTGAAGCTGCAGCTCCCTGCAAGCCGCCCACGCGCACCTGGGCCTGCACGGCGCACTGGGAAGGCCGGAGAGTCTCTGCCAGCCTGCGGGAGCCGCGTGCCGGTATCTCCAGCCAACGGCCCAACACCAGAGCCCTTCACCAACATGGAGGCGCTTCCGCCTTCTTCCCCACTCATGAGCCCTCAGACTACAAGCCTATTGGTTGGTACCGCCCACTTCCGGGGCGGACCTTCCCCCTCCGTTGGCTGGCTCGCCTGTCCATCATGTCCAGACCCACCCGTTGGCTGACTCCCCTGTCGATCATACACAGACCCACCCGAGCTTAGCGCAGGGGCTAGGTTGTCCTTAAGCAAGTGCAGTTGACAGGTCACAGCGACCCCGCAGAGGGCTATAAGCAGACTTCAATTTTTTTATTTTATTATTATTTATTCATTTTTGCAGAACCGGGGATTGAACTCAGGCCCGTGCGCTCGCCAGGGAAGCACTTAGTCCACCGAGCCACGTCCCGGCCCCAACCTTCAAATACTGCGTTGAAAAATGATCCGCACGGGGCTGGATGTGCAGAAGGGGAGCACTCGGGAGCACCCCGAGGGGTCACCGAGGGTCGACCTGGGCCGTGCAGGGGGCGCCCGGACGGCCTGCAGAACGGGGGGCCCGGGCGGGGGTCGGGGTGCAGCCGGGGTCGGCTTCGCTGTGCCGGTCTGCACGGGCAGAGCGCCCTCGGGGCTTCCGCGTCCGCATCGCGCCGGCGTGGCTGCTGGGGAAACTGAGGCAGGCGGCAGCTGCGTGCCGGGGGGGCCTCGCCGGGCTCTACCGCTCCAGGAGCGTCTGCTGCACTGTGAGGGCGGAGGGAGACAGAGAGGAGCACCGGTTAGCGGGGTACCGGTTATCGGGGTTCGCATCAGCGCATCTCGGGCAGGCTGCGACCCTATTTTTATGAAATTACAGCTATTTAGGAACTGACGCTGCGGGGGAGAGAAAAGGAAGGAAGGAAGGAAGGAAGGAAGGAAGGAAGGAAGGAAGGAAGGAAGGAAGGAAGGACAATTGCAGGAACCCGACGCTGCGCGGGGTGCACGCCCCGGAGGCCGAGGCAGGGCAGGGCAGGTCCCAGCCCGCCTGGCCAGAGTGACTCGCTAAAGCCATTTCTAAACACATAAAACATTAAGCAAGGTCTGGGGGCGCCGCTCCGTGCACAGGCCCTGGGGCCCCTCCCTACCACCCGTCACGACGACAACCACCGCAGCAACCGCGCAGCCTCCTGCCCTCTTACCCGGCGGCTCCCTGCTGGTGCTCGGGCCGTTTTCCAGGTTGACTTCGCCCTGCTCGGCTGAAAATAAGACAAGACGCCCCAGATGGAGTCTCAGCGAGCCCAGCCCCGGCCCCGGGCCCCTCTGGGTGCAGGCTGCTGCCCTCCCGTCCCCGCACCCGGCCCGGAGAGGAGGACCTGTGGGCGCCCGGGGCGAGGAGCGGCTCGCTGCTTCAGGGTGTTGCGCTGGCCCCTCGCGGGGAGGACATCGCCCAGCGCTGCGCACTGTGCAGCCCGACTGCCCCGAGACCCTCCTGCCTCGGCCTCCCCAGGCCTGCGTGACCGACGTGCTCCGCCCCGCCCCCCACACTGACCACGGGGTTCGGGACAAGGCCACCGAGGCCTGGCGGTCAGCTGCACGGGGACCCCGCCATGGGGCCGTGCGGCTCGTCCCTGCAGCCTTCCTCACGGCCATTTGTAAATTTCTTTTTCTATCTTAAGGGTCTATAAGATGCTCGGGGTCTCACTACTAGGCCGGACTCGTAGTGATCCGCCTGTGCTCAGCCTCCCAAGGGCTGGGATTACAGACGCGTGCCACCACGCCGGGCCTCAATCCCATCCCAGCGCGCCCCGTGGATCGAACCCCCGCCCCTGCGCCTCCTTGCAGGCGCTTTAATCCGCTGAACTACTTGGCCGCCCGTGAAGTGTCCCCTGATGGCTTCCCAGGACCCCGTCATGCCCACACCGTGACGGCGGCCCCCGGAATACCACTTGTGGCTAAACGTCACTCTGACGCCCGCGCAGTCCTGCATGGGCGTCCGCAGGGAGGCTGGATGACGCGGGATTACAGGCGCCCTGCGGCGGGGAAGGCAGGTCACGGAGCACCTGGGCTCCCACTTCTGGCCGCCATGATGGGAGGGTCCCCCGCCACGCCTGGCCGCCATGACGGTTCTGTGCAGCAGCCACTCTGGACCGCACTGTCTGCAGCCGCGAGCCAATAAGCCTGTCGTCCCCTGGAAGGGGCGCTGTGCGGCGTCGGCCTCCTACCCGGACAAGCACCAGCAGAACCACAGGGCACCGGACACGCACACACAAAACACGTTTATTTCCTTTCTGCAATGCTGTAAAGGGGCAGCCACGCGGGGCCGTCCGTGGCCGCGCTTGGCGACCTCCGCCACTTACAGAATCGCACGGTTAAAATGTGTCGGGGGGGACATGCACAGGCGCCGGGCGCATGCTCTTGGTTACGGGAAGAGGAAAAAAGCACTGCGTGTCCTGCCACGTAAGTGCCGTGGTCGGCCACGCCTTCCCCGGCCACCAAATACCACGTGGGCCGGGCTGGGGCCGAAGCTCGGGGGCACGAGCACCTGCCTGGCAGGCGCAAGGTCCTAAGTTCGACTCCTGGTACTAAAATAATAAAAAATAATAATAATATGTGTGTTAGGAAGCCAGAGTTGTTTACATGAGAGACAGATGCGTGGAAAACGCAGGGCAAGGTAAGTGACAGAAGCAGGTGGACAGACGGTAGGTGGCAGAGCCAGGTAGGCGCGTGGGCTGGCAGATTAGCTGTCCACGGAGATAGACGGACGCACGCACACAGCATGCACACACAGCTTCAGAGCGTCATCAGCTTCTACATTGGCATTCGCTGGCAAAAACACTCTTGTCTCCACACAACCCCACCAAAAAAGAAAAAAAGGAAAAAAAAAGAGAAAAAAAGAAAAAAAAAAAAAACTATTCTAACTGGAGCATGAACCCCAGATTTAAGGAGTTTAAAAAAAGAAAAAAAACTAAAACAAGAAAAAGAATCCATTGGAAACAAGCAAGCGTGTTGGTAAGAAAGGACACCACTTGGGGCCCAAACTCCCACACGGGGACCCCTGAGGAGGAGGGCCACGGGGGTCCCCAAGCTTGCAAGGCCACTTGGGAGGCTGAGGCAGGAGCATCTCCTCGCGTCGGAGGCGTCCTGGGCCATGCTGGGGCTCGGATGGTGCGGTCGGGGCTCGCGAGAGCGTGGAGGCGGCGGCGCGAGGGCGCGGGTGCGAGGCTCAGGCCCCGCGTCCGCTTTCTGGCCACGCACGCCCGGCCCCGAGGCACCCCGGGACGAAAGGGGCACAAAAACGCAAGGCAAGAAACCAGCGCACTGAGTGCAATCCCCGGTTTCTGCCAAAAAAAAAAAAAAAAGACAGCCGGACTGTAGCACGTGCCCTGCGCTCAGGTCTTGGGAGGGGACATGGCTCGGCCACGCTGCGTCTGGGCCCTGTTCCCCAAGGGGACGCCGTCACTTTTAGTTTTGTGCAGCTTCCCACACGCTGGACAGGAAAACGAGCCCCGCCCTGCCAGCTGCCCTCAGGAGGCTGAGGCAGGAGGATCTCGAGTTGGTGTCCAACCTCGGACAGTCAGCAAGTTAGCCGGCGACCCCTAAGCAAGACCCAGAAGGCGGCCAGGAGAATCCTGTCCGTGGGGCCATGTGCTCAGCAAGGGAGCGAGGGACGAAGCGAGGGAGGGAGCAGGGTGCGGGGACCGCGGCTGCCACGCAGGGCCACGGTGGGAGGGGAACGGCGGCGGTGGCCGGAGGCTCGTGGACCGGCGCGACGCTCCGATGGGCTAGGTCTCCGGGGCATCTGGAAGGGGCGGACAGAGGAGGAGGACAGTGAAAGAGGGTCTGGGGCGGGGAGGCCGCAGGGCCAAGGGGGCGCAGCGCGGGGACAGCGGGGAGCAGCCGCAGCCAGGAGGGTGGCCCTGGGGCTCGTGGCCGCAGCTGAGTCCCAGGGCCACCGTGCGCAGGGAGCCGGGGCCGGGGCAGGAGGGCGACGCCAGCCTGGGCCTCGTGGGGACGGCGCGGCCTGCCAGAGCTGGCCGCAGGCGAGAGGCGAAGGCCCCGAGCGCCTGCAGGGAGAAAGCCTTCCTGGCCCCGGGAGACGCCACGGCGCGTTCCGTGTCTGTGGGCCTAGAGCCGGGGCTGCTGAGCGCCTTCCGATGTCAGCAGAGAGCTGTGGGCCAGCCGTGCCCGCAGAGCTCTGAGGAACAGGGTCGGGGCGCAGCGGGGCCCCCACAAAGCACCCGCGCTCAGCACGCGGCAGGCACAGAGAAGGAAGACAAGAAGACGCTGGTGTCGCGTGGGTGCCGGCTACGGCCACGGGAGGAGGAGCCACGGGCAGACCCGCGCCACGCTCCCCAGCGCCCGGAATTCATGGCCCAGGCGCACGCCGCGCGGGCCCGCGCCCCCAGGAGGAGGACACACGTCTGTGCCTCTGTTCTATTTCTCCTGGAGGGGGGCACCCGGGAGCCCCTGGGCACCCCACCACGGTGGACACGGCTGTACACCCAAGCGAGTGGAGTCGCCCACAAGAGGCGCCCCGCACACCGCGTCTCGCCCGCACACTTGCGCTCTTCACGGACACTCCGCGGCGCATCCGCGCTGCCCGAAGGCCACGCTGGGCACTTAAAGTCCACATCTTAGGGTGACAGAGGCCCGGCCAGGGGTCCCCCAAGTCTCCCGGGCTCTGCTCGCCCGCCCCACCGTCCCGGCCGCCGTCTGCAGCAGCCCTGGGTCCTCCTTCCTGATTCCCAGGTGGGATCAAAAACCCGGTGACTGCCACGTGCCCTCAGCAGAAAGGCCGCTAGGAAATGCGCGGCACTGTGTCTTCGCCCACGCGGGTCACCGGAGCCGGCACACTACGATTACCGGCTCCTCAAGGTCAAAATAGCCAGGAAAGGTCAACATGCGCAGTCCACCAGCCCATGGAGGCGGCCAGGACAGCGCAGCTAAAGCCCCTGAGGAACGAGGACCCAGAGCTGCTGCCCGCGTGGCCGGGACGTGGGGCGGGCGCACGACGGGGGTGGCGAGGGGTGCAAGGCCGCGCGCCCTTTTGCCTGGAAGCCCCGTGAGTGAGACACTGCCTCGGCCCCGTGTGCGCCCGACGCCTCTGTGGGCAGCAGCTCCCAAGTGTCAGTGGTGAGGCCGGGCGTCGCCTGCGTGACATTTGCGGCCGGTTTTAAGGAAAGCGCCGCGTCCCACGGGCCATGCAGAGCGAGCCGGCTTACGGTTCTCTTTGAAGCACAGTTTCTTCTTCTGGTAGGCGATGAAGCTGGAAATCGCCCCGGCCACGGCCACCACCACGGCGCCCACGATCCCGGGAACCACGCCCTGGGGCTGCTCTGTGGACAAGCAGAGGGGACGGGTCACGGCCAGCCACGCTCCGCAGTGGCAAGCCACCTCGGCAGGTTCCTACCACACCAGCCCGCCCGCACCACGTCGGCTGCAGGCTCTGCCCGGGTTTCTCTTCCTGCAGCAGCATTCGAACTCAGGACCTTCACCTTGAGCTACACTTGCACAATGGCCTCCCGTTGGTCTCAATTTTTCCCCTGGAGATGGGGGTCTCCCAAGCCTCCCCCGGCAGGGCTGGAACGCGCCACCGTCCTGCCTCAGCCTCCCGGAGTGCTGGCATGAGCGGCCCGCGGCAAGGCCCCGGCCTGGTTGACTTTATAGGAAGAGTTCTGCTCATTCTGATTCCCTTCTGCCTTAGAGAGGCAAGCAGCAGTGAAGGCCTCATTTTTGTCTTTTTAAATTGCTTTTGGGCAATTTTGCATGCTCATATCGGATAATCTGAGCAACTACTCTGAAGTTCTGTGTCATTTCCAACGTTCTTTTACTAGTTTTTGTCCTGTTTAAAAAATAATAACGACAACAGACGGAGGCAAAGGCCCGGGGTGCGCCGGCAGCAGCAGGCCCCCGTGGTCTGCGCCGCGAGCCCCAGAATCCAGCCCCAGGAGGGAGGTCTACACTGGCAGCTCCACAAGGCCCGCAGCCGAGCTGATCCACGCAGGGAGAGACCACGGCAGCCGCCGCCACGAGCGCCCCAGCAGCTCGGAGCAGGGCGCAGCCGCCTCGCCTACCGTCCGCGGCTTCTCCGTCGTTCCGGGGGCTGCTGCCACCAGGCGCACCTCGGCCTCCTGCGAGAAAGGCCCAGGCGTCAGCCCACGCCCCGTGAGGACCTGAAAGCGTCAGCGCGGGAGTCCCCAGGGAGACGCGGGGGCAGGACGGCCGTGGGGGAGGCCACGGCTCCCGGCGCCACGCTGCATACCACGGTGGGGTCAGGCGGTGCCCGAGACCCGCCCAGGGCCGAGTGCAGACGCCTGATCTCTCGTGGACACCTCGGCGTGAGCAGCGGGGTTCCACGGAAGACCGAGAGCGGCCGTGTTGAGTGTAATTAAGCGGTGAAAATAGTAAAGACACAAGAAAGGGCCGCCGTACCGTCGCCACCAGCCGCGTCCGCCAGGTCAGAGTCCGAGAAGCCCCCTGGAGAGAACACCACGCGGTGAGCGGCGGCCCGGGGCTGCGGGCAGCCCGACCCGGAGGCCGACACCCCGACACCCCGACACCCCGACGCCCCGAGCCCCACCCTGCCTGCAAAGCGACGTCGCCTTGCGTGCCCAAGCTCCTGCGGTTAGACTGACCCCAATTCTCGCGCTCATCCGGAGCACAGAACGCAAGAAGAAATCGGAGCTGCAGAATGATTTTTATTTCAATTTTTTTTTTTTTTTTGGTGGAGCCGGGGATTGAACTCAGGCCGCTGCGCTTGCCAGGCAAGCGCTTATTCTACTGAGCCGTCTCCCCAGCCCAAATTTTTTTAATTTTTTTTTTAAGTTTTTATTTCAATGAGTGTAATTAGAAACCTAGATCAGAAAGCCCAGCCCAGAATCCTTAGAAATAACACCTTGGAGGTGTTTTGTTATGCGGCAGTGGCTAGCTCACACACGCGGGGGTACTGGAGAGAGCAGGACAGACGACAGACAGACGGACAGACCAATCGACTGACCGACAGGCCAACTTCGCAATCTGCCTTTAAAAAAATCCATATTCTTTTGTAGAAAAATGGAACTCTATAGACTTTGCCTTAAATTCAGACACAAAGACCACCCGGCTCTCCTCCACCCTCTGCCACAGCTAGAGAACGGAAGTCTGACTACGCCACGAGCCACAAGCCACGAGCCACGAGCCACGAGCCACGGGACCATCTTGCCCGGAAAGCTAACGAGGAAGAGAAACCCGCAAGAACTGCCCGCGGGTTCCTCCTGAGGTGCTCGCTGGGGAATACGCTAAAAAAAAAATCCAAACAAGAAGTCAAGCAGGAAAATAAAACAATGTGGAACTAGTAGAAGAAAGGAGCAGCAGACACGCCTTCCCCCACGGAGACGCCCGGCGCGGCCACGGCGACCACGGCGGCCACGCCGCACATCGGCTCCCCACTGGGAACAAGCGTTCATTATCCCCCCCCAAAGTGGGAAGAGCCTCAACAGTGAAATGATTCGCAAGTCCAACGGAAAAAATGCACACCTCCGAAGACTGGCAACGCCAGCCAGCACAGGACAGCCCGCGGAAGGAAGCAGTCCACTGTCTCTGCTCGACACAGGAGGACGGCAAGCGGGCCAGCGCCCCGGAGCGAGCGGCCGGCCACGCTGCAGGCCACGGCGCACAGGAGGGCCGAGGCATGGCGCTCCGCTCGGGCTTCTCAATGCCGACCTCTGAGCTAAGGCCAGGCGGCGGCCTCCCTGGCCATGTGACATGAAGGCTTTCTAAGACCCCACAACCCTCACTGCGAATCACAAGGAAAGATCGCTTTGTTTCTTTTTACATTCCTGCGTGTGTACGTTTGCAAAGCGTACTATGTTCATGGGGGGAAGCGGCCCACGGACACAGCGAGAGCCTTCCTCCTGCCCCCTGCGCCCCGTGGCACTCCCAACGCTGCTGCCCACCTCCCTGAAACCTTCCTGTTTTCTACCATCTGTCTTTTACTCTATATATTTCTTTTTTTCTTTTCATAGAAGAGAAAGCAGACAGTGTTTCAGCCAGTACTTCCTACTCTCTCCACTTAACGTCGCAGCCTCAGGGTGCGGCCACTCTCCTACACACCACTCAAGCGTATCTTTCTTCATGGCTGCATAGTATTCCACAACCCTGGTGAGCACACTTTATTCATCTGCTGATACATACAGACATCTCTCCGGGGATCACAAGTTGTGCTGCTACACACATGGGGGCACGCGCACCCCTGAAATACGGTGCCCTCAACTCTTTTAGGAAGACAGAAGAGGAAACAGCCCGAGGAGGAAGATGGCCCGTGTCTCCTCTGCCATTTCTGATCTTGCACCATCACAACTGAGGGGGGCCGGATCCCAAAACTTAAGCCCGGGGACGGCACACAGCATGAAGGTCTCGACTCAGGGCGGTGGGCACGGGAGCGAATGGGGTCGGGGCCCGCACTCACCCGCGGATCCCGGCGGCCGGGGCTTCGGGTCCGGGCGGGGCTCGGGCTGCCTGGGCGGGGCCGCTGTGTGCAGAACACAAGAGAGAGGGGGGCAGTGAGGGGAGGGGGCAGGGGCTGGAAGTGTGCGTGGGGGTGGCCACCCAGGGCGGGAGGGGCGGCCACGGCCACAGACAGGGCCACGGCCACAGCCACGGCCACCAGCTCCTTCCACGCATCTTCCAACCCCAGCACCTGCTTTCAGGGCTGGCTGCAGCAGGCGTCCCAGCCACCTAACACACTGGGGCGACATGAAGACCCAAGGCCCGCTGTGGAGCGTGGGGTGGTGGACTTCAAGGTGGGGCAACAGTGACTGAAGGCCTACGGTGGCCGCCGTGGTAATGGCGTGGAAGCCCGAGTGACAAAACGGCAGCCAGAGTGCTAACGAGATGGCGGCCGACATGCTAACGAGGGGGCTCCCCGGCCAAGAGGCTGTGAAATAAAAACCAAGTGCTGCCACAAGGAGACCTCAGCAGCCGGAGCGCGCCCCTCCCCGGGCCGCCGCGCTCTCCACCCCACACAGCCCCGCTGCGCAAGACCCGGCTCCTTTCAGGAAGGACCCGAGTGGGGACAACAAAGAGCTTCTAAAGGGGCACTCACGGTCTCCGCCGCCAAGCGCATCGCTTAAGTCGAAGTCATCGCCTGCAACAGGGAAAAGGGGGATGAACAGCCAGCATCCAGGGAGGACACAGAGCAGCAAGCGGCCTTGGGGACCAGCAGCAGGGCCGCCCGGGCGCCCTCAGCCCTGCACCGTGGCCGCGCGTGGCCTCACTGAGTGTGGCCTTGCCACACGTGGCCTCGCCGAGCGTGGCCTGCCCGGGATCTCATTAGGGAAACCAAAGTGCTGACCGTTCCGCTGTCGTCTTTCTCTCCAATGAAAAGACTAAGAGCCCAAAGGAGTGAGCTGGTGGAAGGTGAGCCTTCCCGCGACCTCCCCGTCGTGCTGTAGTTCACTCAGACGCTGCCCGCGAATTCCTCCAGGGTGGCCCCGAGAAAAATCGGCAGAAAAATTTTGATGCTACAAAATATGGGCTACACAGCACCAGAGAAGTGCTTCCAGATCGCCCCAGCAGGAGGCGCCGTGGCACCGCTGTGTGGCACCGCTGTGTGTGGCACCTGGAACCGGCCCAGCTTTTCAATCAACTAGAAATGGGCGGCGTGCGGGCCTCCGCCGGTCTGCGGGCAGGAGCAGTCAGGGTTTCCCGCGCTTTGCCTCCTTTTTTCAATTATTTCTGCTTTTCTCTTTCTAATTTGCCATCTATTTCTTTTTTTCTTTTTCCAAACGTGCACGCCTAAGTCGGGTCACGGGACCACAGCAGCGTGCAGCCCCACGAAGGCCGCCAAATCGTACCAAGTGAAGGCCTGCATCACTGGTAACTTCCTCCTAATGCTATTCCGTACTCGCTAAAAATAAAAAAAAAAATTTAAAAAAGAAATCAGCAGCACAATTACTGAATTTAACTTAAATAATTCCCCCAACGACCTTTCCCCTTCCTTCTTTCCTGGGTTTCTCCTTGGTTTATCAAAAGAAACAGTTAATGTTTACATTTTTTTTCTTCTTAATTTACAAAAAAACTACGGACCAACGTCGCATGCTTGTGTCTGGCAATCTGAACAACTAACTGGAAGACGACAGCACGCCACCAGGTTGTGGGACTCCGAGCGAGAGCGCGGCTCTCGACAGCGCTGTCCGCCGCGTGCGCCCCGGGCCACCAGGCCACCGTCCTGGGCCGCCACCGGCCGGCGGCGGGCAATCCTGCCCTCTGAAGCAGAGCTGCGCGTGACCTGAACAGGGACGCCGCGGCAGCACGGGACAGCGCCGGGTTAGCTTCCGTGCTGCCCACAGCCCCCGGGCCCCTCCCGGCTTTTATTTGAAAGGACACCAGAGCGACATTTTGGGGGTAGGGGCGCGGTCCCTGGCAGGCACCCCGTGTCCGCTCTCCCGTTTCCAGATCCCGACTCCAATGTTTCCAGCGATCGTGGCCCCGACACGGTCCCCCTCCCCGTCCCCAGGGACGCGGTCTTACCCCCTGCGGGCTTCTTGGGCGCTGGGGTGGCGTGCTTGGCGCCATCTGCAAAGGAAGGACAATTAGGTGGGGCGTGTGGCCAGAGTGCCAACGCTTTCACCTTTTATTTTAGCATCTTGTCGTTATTTCTCTTGAGGCAGGCTCTCGCTGCGCAGCCCAGGCCGGCCTGGAACTCGGAGACCCTCCTGCCTCAGCTTCCCAAGGCTGGGAGGACAGGCGTGTGACACCACAGCGGCCCTCTTTTATATCTTCAAAGCTGTGATGTTCCCAGAGAAACACTTCCAATACATATACATATATATACATATATGTATGCCTATTAGCACATCATTAGCATATGTATTAGCATACCCGCATATTAACACATTTGCCTATTAGTGTATGTCTATTAGCATGTATGCCTTATTAGCCTATGTACCTATTAGCATGTAAGCCTATTAGCATGCATGCCTATTAACATATGTGCCTATTAGCACATGTGACTATTAGCATACGTGCATATCAGCATATGTGCTATTAGCATATGTGCCTATTAGCATATGTGCCTATTACCATTAGCATATGTGCATATTAGCATGTGTGCCTATTAGCACATGTGCCCATTAGCATGTGTAACTATTACCATATGTGTCTATTAGCGTGAGTGCACATTAGCATATGTGGCTATTAGCATATGTGCCTATTGGTATATGTGCCTATTAGCATGTGTGACTATTACCATGTGTCTAGTAGCATGTGTGCCTATTAGCATACGTGCTATTAGCATATGTGCTATTAGCATACGTGCTATTAGCATATGAGCCTATTAGCATATGTGCATATCAGCACTTGTCCCTTGTCCCCCCAGCCAGCAGCTGCCCTGCCCTGCCCTGAGCACTAGAGGCCGAGGGTGCCCCGCGGGGAGAGGGGGTGACCCGGCCGCCCCGGCCCAGGAAGCACTTGCCTCTGTCCCCCCACCCCACCCCAGTCCCTGCACGCATCCTTCCAAATGCGAGCCCCAGCCCGAGCCACCCGCAGGGGGCAGAGGCGGGAGGGTCTCCCAGGAGCAGCAGGCAGCTGGGGACAGTCTCCCGAGGTGGCCGTGGCTGCTAAGGGCAACGGAAGCGTCCCTGGCCATGCGCATCTGGCTGCGACCCTTTTCTTAAATCCTGAGCCGTTCAGCCCGCGGCGGGCGCGCCTGGATGGGACGAGGGCTGGGGGAGCGCAGGGCGCCCCACTGTACTCACCGAGGGCGTCGCTCAGGTCAAAGCCCAAGTCTGAAACAGGAAAGAGACAGAGTGAGCGGCCGGGAGCCCCGCAGCTGCAGGCCCCCTCTCCTCCTAAACACTCACGGGGACCCTCAGAGCAAGGCGCTGGCTTTAAGGCAGTGTGGACCCCAAGAGCTCCGAGGACGCGGACCCCTCGGGGAGTGCGTGCGCCTAGTGTGTGCACACCTACGCGCGTGTGAGGTTCTGCACGTACTAACTATATGCATTGTGATTTCCTGCCGTTCCGGGCATGTTGTCCCCAACAACAGATTTCCTTCCTTTTAGAAGGCTGCATAGTACTCCACGGCGCATGCGCACCACCCGCTCCCCCCTCCGGCAGCGTTGGTGGCCTTTGGACCCAGCGATTCCGTGTCCTTTCGGTCCACATGCTGCGGATGGGTAGCTAGGGCCACCTGCAACAGCTTCCCGGGGGAAAGGACCGCACACTATGCGCGGGGTCTCCTGCACAAGGGAGCAGGGGCACGAGTGAGCAAGTGCAGAGCAGGGTTGGGGAGGGAGCTCAGCGGCGGAAGCGCCTGCCTGGCACATGCAAGAGCCTCCGTTCTAATCTCAGGTACCAAAAAGAAAAAAAAAAAAAAATCAATGCAATGACCACCGTTGGTTTCCTCTCATCTTGTTTCGAAATTGTGTGGCATTGTTCTTCCTGTCTTTAAAAATAAAGCAAAGAAGGAAGACACCGAGCCCAGCGCGGGGGCGTGCGCCCGCAGACCCGAGCTCGGGAGGCTGAGGCAGGCGGCTCTCCGCTCTGCGCCCCGCAGGGTCAGCCTGGGCGCCGGGGGACCCGGGCTCAGAACAGAGAGGAAGCGACGTACTGAAAGAATAAAGGGCCCGCCGAAGCCGCTCAGGGCAACCTGCTGGGCTCGATCCTCACTGTCACAAAAAGCCAAGAGGAAAGAGGCAGAGGGAGGCTGGAGGGATGGAGGCCGGCGGGAGGGCCGCAGCAGCAGCACCGACGTCCCCGAGGCCGAAAATCAGACAGGAGCGCGAGCGCTGGGCGGCGCGGGCACAGTGAGGGCACTGAGCTGGGCGGGACTCCCCGGAGAGCGAACCCAGAACCCCGCGGTTCTGGTTCTAGGCGGCTTCCCCAAGAGGTCCCGACCTCAGAGCATGGGCTTCCGCGCACGGCCACGGCCACATTCACGTGGGCTCGAGCCCGGCAGCGCCGGGCTGGCAGCCGCCTCTGTGTCCAGGAGCGTGTGAATGGCCGGGGGAGGTGTGTGCACACACTGGAGTACTACGCAGCCAGGAAGAAGGGCGGCTGAAGTCATGTGCAGGGAAATGGGTGCGTGCCAAGGCCAGGGTAGCACCCAGGCGCACGAGCTTCAGTATCGTGTGGCTTGTCTTAGGCGACAAACGCACAGCCCAAGCTAAAAAGGGAGACGGGTGGGAAGACGTCCGGGGTGGACACGGGAGGAGGAGAGCAAAGACCAACAGCGGGGAAGCCGAGCTCCGCACTCGCCCCACCTCCACGCAGAAAGATTTTAAAAATAAAATACGAATAATTAAAGCTCCAGGTCCGGCCGGGGAGCTCAGCGGACTGGAGTGCCTGCTCAGGCACAGGCAGGGACGGGGGTTCCATCCGCGGGGGCCCGCGGGCCTGGCGGGGTGCGCGGACTCGGCGACTGGGGCCGGGCCAGGTGTCGCTCTCCCTCCGACTGGGGGCTGTGTGGTGACAGCCTGCAGTAAACACACTGGGGGGGGAAAGACCTAAATCCCCAAGACCAGGCCGGGCTGAGAACACTGGCCCTCCCTCGCCCGCCTGCGGGCCAGCGCTGGGGACACCGAGGCAGGAGGGGCGCAGCCTGCGGGCGCAGCAAGCGCGGCGCTGTGTTCAACATAAACGAGAGGTCCTGGGCGTGAAATAATTTAAAAAAACAAAAACAAACTTTAGAAGAAACACGAGGCCTGGGGTGCTGGCTCAGCGGAATAAGCGCCTGCCTGGCAAGCGCAGGGCCTGAGTGCAATCCCAGGTTACTACAAAAACAAAAAACGAAACCAAAACCGTGACAACAGCTTGGCCAACCCCAGAGCGCGCTTTGCTCTCTGGCCGTCCGCAGCAGCAGCAGCAGCAGCAGGCGAGGCGCAGCCCTGCAGGGCGCGGCCAGCCCGAGATGGTCGCATCATAAAAGAGCCGGCGCGGCGGGGAGGGAGGGGAGGCGGCGCTCGGCACAGCCTGAGGCCCTCCCGCTGCCTCGCGGCCCCCCGCGCCACCTCCCCGCCTCGTTTCCTCTTTCCTTCTTCAGGCGTGACTCACCCGAGGCGCTGGGACCTCCCCGCCCTGCCCGCGGGCGCACAGGAAACCCCGGGCCTCCCTCCCGGCCCAGATGTCGCATCCCCCCTGCGAACCACACAAGCAAACTTTCGCGTCACCCAGCAACCGTCACCAGGGAGACGACAACAGCAGAAAAGACCAGGAAGAGCTGCAAAGAGACAGCAGGTCCCGGGGGCGGGCCGGGCGCGCACGTCCCCAGCGGGGAGGCCGAGGCGGGAAGGTCTCCCCCGGCTGCGCGGAGAAGCCTGCCTGGGAAGCCCAAGCAGGGCGGCGCGGAGGGCCCGAGAGCCGAGCGGACGAAGGCGCCTGCTTAGGGCGGTGCGATCCCGGATTGAGAGAGGGCGTGGGTGGGGGTGCGGGCTGTAATCCCAGCCCTTGGGAGGCTGGACACAGGCGCGTCACCACGAGGCGATCTGGTGGTGCGACCCTGAACACCGTGTTGTAGATACATTAAAAGAACCCGAAAATCTCGAGGGCCGGGACGACCCCAGGGCCAGGCCGCGGGTTCCATCCTGGGCTGTCCCCTCTCTGCGACCCGCGCCTCAGCGACCACCAGCCGGATCTAGGTGACAGTCACGGCGCCCGCGGCCGGCCGGCCGGGAGGTGGCGCAGCGCTTCCCTGGCAAGCGCAGGGGCGGGAGCTCAGTCCCCGGATCCGAAACAGTCACATCCCGGGCCGGTGTTTACTCCTCCTGTGTACTGGAGATTCTTCAAATTCCTCTCTACTTAGTTTGCCAAATAGTCAGTCAATGAGCAGCCGCAATGGCCAGCGCGCGCACCTGGCTCACTTCACTTAAACTCGGGGTCTCAAGCTCCTTGCGATGTCCTACCAGTGACCCAAGCCCATCCTTCTTCCGGGCCGCATACTACTCCACTCTCGCGTCCCGCGCCGCAACACTCGCCGATTTCCGTCACCCCCGCGGCCTCCTGCCACCGGCGTCGGCACCCAACACCAGCCACAGCCGACAGCGCCACAAAAGCGTCCCCCCGGGTTTAGGAGGCGCCCGAAGCGCGGCTGCGGGTGGGGCTGTGGCGAAGCCGTCTCAGGCAGGCAGCA